TCGAGGTTGCAATTGTAACCTCGGTACATGTTCTTATCTTTGCTTAGTGTTTAATTAATTATTGCTTACAATTTAAGTTGCAAGAATGTAACTTACTCGTCCCTTGTACTTCGGCTTACAAATTTTTTTGTAGGCGAGTTGAAGATAGTCGTTTGTACAAGCTAATTGGCTATCGCCACCCTGATTTCGCAAATTCCACTAATCGTTGGAAATTGGTAGTCCCCAAAGATCATCGAAAGGACATTCTTCATCGATGTCACGATATCTCAACGTCTGGTCACATGGGAATATACAAGACGTTTTGGAGGATCGCTGAACGTTACTATTGGTCTCGAATGAGATCGGATGTTGCCACATTTATTCGGCGTTGCAGAGTTTGTGGTCAGTCTAAAGTTGAGCAAAAGTAGCCTGATGGATTAATGGGAAATCGACCCTCAATTACTCAACCTTGGCGGTACATAAGCCTCGATTTTGTCGGACCCTTCCCACGCTCAAAGCATGGCAATTGCTACATCCTCGTTATCACTGATTACTTCAGTAAATATATAGGTTTGTTTCCGTGTCGCTCAGCTAATTTCCAAGTCTTAGTAAATTTTGTAGAGCAAGGGATCTTTCTGGTATACTATTTCTGGTGGAGCTCCACAACACTTAACTTGTGACAATAGCACCTCCCTGAAATTTCTATGTATTTTATTTCTAACTAGATGTAATTATTTTGGGCGTGAATTAGATCAAGTCTAGTATTTTGCGGCTAGCAAGTAAGACTTGCTACACAACACAACGCTTAATGGACAACACAAAATCAAGCACTGACTGAAACAACTGAACAGCTAATGTCATGAAGAACTAACACTTTTATAACGAAAGAACGATTGGAATGAATAAAAAATTTGATAGATTCTAAGAGTAAATTCTCCAATAAATATATTTTAGCAAATACATTGGAGCACAGTGTAACACTGGAATATTTTTGGTTACACCCTTATCCTATGAATACCTTAACTTTAATTAACAATTAAGCCTAGATGGTGAAGGAGGAGTGAAGGTCGTAAAGAAAGAAAAATTCACTGTTAAGGAGTACCAATATATTAACAAGCAAAGGAATAAAAAAACTTAATTAAAATGTAGTCGAACTCGAACGTTTCAGCATAAAGTAATTAACTATTCTACAACTCAGCACAGGATGAATAAGATGAACAAGATGGATAATAAACGGAAAAAAATAACAACTATATATTACAATTGTCTTAATCAAAAAAGTTGGGAGACAGTATGCTTCAAAAAAGTATTCAACTTGTACCAAAAAAACGGGAAAAGCAGCATCAACATCAAAATCGCTAAAACCAACAGTCACGATAGCTCCCTCTTAATATTATCAACCCACGGTGATGTTTCCAAAAAAGCTGGTTTTGTGGAGTTGTTCCGGGAACTTTGAATGAGTGACACACTATTATTGATGGGAAATTCTACATTTAACCTGCTTTTATTCCATGTATCCTATTCTCTGCTTAAAATCCCGTCATCGGTACTAAGACATGTTTACTGTCGTCATAATCGCAGCTTGAAATATATAAAGTTTGTGTTGGTAAAACTGCAAACATAAAAAGTTTTAGAAGGTGCGTTTCTTAATTATTTAATTCTAGAGGTCCATCAGTCACACGTTTAGCCCCAAGCTATAGTCGACAGTTCTATTGAGAAAATAAAGTTCATTTGGAATTGTCCTAACCGTTAACTGTTGAAATTATTGCATTTACTAATTTTATTATTTTGTTTTCTTACAGCGTGAAGATAAGTATATACTTGAATTCTCACTGGTTGGTAAATTTTACACTTTATTTTAACGGAGAATTTGTTGCTGATTTTTTCATTTTTTTTTTTAAATAGTAATTTTCATTTTAAAATGCCACACTTAAATAAATCACTGTGTTAGATAAAGCTGCTTTTTGGAGTATCTAATAATCAGATAAGAATTATATTAATGTTATTTTAGAGCAAGACTGTCCCAGGCTTCCACAACACTCAGCAATTACGATTCCAATTATTGACCGAGGCCAAGACACGCCCCAATTGCTACTGGATTTACGAACTGTGGGCATTTATAAATGGAAACAAGTGGTTATAATCTATGATAACACTATCAGTAAGTAAAATATATGTTGGACTAAGTGACACCATACACATGCTCTGATCGTTAAAAATTCTATCAATTATTAGACCTTGAAAAAGAAAACGGATTAAAAAGCAAAAGCTTGGATTGAACAAACACGGCTTTTCTGCTGTAATCGCAAACCAACTCTCCTCCTCCAAAAAAATCACCGATGTTGTTCCCCGGACGTATCACCGCGCCCTCTGTAATGGCTTCCACGAAGAATGCTCCAGTATGGGCTCTCCCATCGTGGTCCCTCTTACCAATGTTGCCGTGCTCGATGTGATTGCTTATAAAATATAAACTGTTTCACTGGTAGTGGTAAAATTAAGAGGCCAACAAGAAAATCGAGGCATACAGAGGCCAGTTAACTGTTTCAAACATGACAAATAGTTTGGAAATCCATTTATTATTAGCTAGTTCAAAGGTACTCTAGCGTGATGAACTTTGACATAATTATAGTTATATTTGAATGACATGATGATACTTTACGATCAGCGTTCGGAAAATCGCATAACTACTCGCTCTGAAGATTCGACTCCATTTTCACAGCGGGAAGTTGAACCTCATGAAGTTGTTTTTCAGATCATTAGGGCGGTTTAAAAATTACCATACTGTACCGTGGATGGCCGAATATCAAATTCTTTCTTCTGGTTACAACTTTTATTCCACTCGGTACAACTTTAACTACGGAACAGGAACAAACTAACTTCAAAGTTACCGTCAATTTCACTAACAATAACAATAACACAAGGAAAACACGCGTTTCCGACTCGCGGGTTTAACCTTCTTCTGCACTCGGTCACTCCTGTCACTTCACTCTCCCGTCTGGTTCTCGTCGTCCCTTATATCCTTTTCTCCAGATATTCCAGATAGTTCTAGAAATCTCCAGAACAGGTGCGAAACTTCCCGCTTGTCAGTGTCATATTTGACAGTAAATGGGGCCCAAATGGGGCTCCCATTTACTGAAACACCATGAATTTCGATCCCCCATTCCAAACGTGAGTACCCCAGGCCATTTCCGTTACAATACTTTTGTTGATCCAACTATAGTCCAAAGACCTAAAACAAACATATAAAGACATGTTAGTGCGCAAAACAAAATCTGCTTCTTCGTTAAAGAACCCCATCGGCAAAAGTTCTCGGTATATAATAGCTCACTTCTCTACCTAGGTATATAATAGATTGTTTTACTATTTGGTAGCGTTTTAAAATTTTTATTATTTAATGAGCTAGTGTGATCTGAAATAGTTGAGTGTATTCTTTCAATAGGATCATTTGTTAGAGGATGGTTACGAGAGCTAAAGTGAGTTGAAAAGTTTTTTAAACCTTATGCAGTTTACGGGGTTCGAGAACTATAAAATTTTTAAATTCTGTACTAATACCCACTGAAACTTGATTGGGAGTCTTATGATAAGAGAAATAAATTAAAATTTAATCTGAAGTTTCTGTCGATTACAGATATTTTAAAAGACAAGCTTTTTCGAAACATTGTTAATGCGGGTGGTCGCAGTCACATTTCTTTCATGTGCAAGTTGTTTTGAGGTTTAGTTAATATAAGCAAGCTTCTGTCTTAAGCCTAGTTCTCATAATCAAATTTTCGAAAAAAAATTCGTCTAATCGGACGATTTGACAGGGGTTGGAAAAATTTGAAATTTAATAGTTCTCATGTGCGATTATTTCTAGCTAAAAAAAAGCAATAATTTTGACTCGTCGTGTTGGTGACAATTACAGTGGTTGGTAACAATGACCGCGATTTTAACCTAAAATCCCACTTTTTTGTTCCCTCGGTCGACGTTCGCCAAACTCGTCATCATCTATGGTCCATACAAAATGCATGAACGCGGAAACCATACTATCCCCCGAAGCCAAAAACATATAAATTTACGCAATAATATTGTACCGTGGATGGCCGGGTATCAAACTCTTTCTTTAGCTTACAACTTTTATTCCACTCGGTATCACTTTAAATACGGAACAGGAACAAACTAATTTTAAAATTACCGTCAACTTCACAAACAATAACAATAACAGGCGGAAAACTCGCTCTTCCGACTCGCGGGGTTTAACCTCTTCTGCACCCGGTCGTTCCTGTCACTTCACTTCCTCTGTCTGGTTCTCCTCGTCGCTTATATAGATTCCTTCAGGTAACCCAGATGGTTCTCAAAATCTCCAGAACAGGAGCGAAACTTCCCGCTTGTCAGTGTCATATTTGACAGTAAATGGGGCGAAAATGGGGCTCCCATTTACTGAAATACCATCCATTTCGATCCCCCCATTCCAAACGTAAGTACCCCAGGCCATTTCTGTTACAATATACAAATATTGAGCCCATTTAATTTTGAAGAAGCCACGAAAAAGTGTTTAGATTTTATTCAATTTTTGAAATTCGACAAAGGGCTTTCGGTAATTCGTAAACCATAGGCTGAGCTTGAAAAAATTGTATAAAATCTACACGGAAAGTGTACACACCGTAAAGTGCATGCTAATCTTTCTCCTGCAAGTATAGGATCTCGGCTTTTACGGTTTTTAGTAATATGAGGTCAAACTTGAATTGATGACTTTCACAGCGGCCCCGCAAAATCCACGCCGGTCACCTCAAAAGCTGCCACATTTACACGATCCATGGGAAGCGGTGGCGTTTTAGCAGACCAATTCGTGGAGTTAAGCCGGTTACAAACTACATACGGCTTCATCACGGATCTAACGGTTCGCCTTCCACTAAGCAACCAAAATCTCTCTCGAAGGAGTGAAAGCAGACCCTGTGTGCCAACATGACATGACAAGAGTTAACATAGACTTCCATTATGATACTTTTCATGCATGTTTGAATGGCAAAGCTACAGGAAAACGAAAGTCATCGCTATCTTACCTTGTAGATATTCATTAAATCCAGTGACACAGTCCGCTTGCAATAGTCTGAGGATTTGTACCGCTGCCTCATACTTTTTTGTGTCTGGTCGTTTGCAATTGGTAATAAATCCCATGATCCACCCAAACATACGTACGGTTTTGGTGTACTTCTCAAAGTAATTAAAGTGCCAAAATTCGGTTTTGTTTTCTCCAAATTGTTCAACGTAGTGACAAATTTATTTTTCTTTTCCTCATTGATCGCTTCCTTCGAACCTCTATCTCCTTTTATGGTCACCCGCAGCGTTGGCAAAAATACTTGAGTAGACGTATGATTAGCTAGCGTATGTACCTTAAGATGACTACCATTTGGTTTCTCCGTCGTGCATGGTTCACCCTGCTTGTCATTTCTGAGCTCTGAGCACAGTAAAGAAATGTGAGACCGACTATATAACAAACATCTCATGCTGCCCTACACTGTTTCGACTAGTGACCAATTTTCAGACAACGAAAAAGGGCTCACCGTTTAGCAACCACTTCTTTCCGTTGTTCCAAGCTCATCCTTTGGCTTTAAAACAGGCTTCGGACAAGTGAGTACCTGAACAAACCGCCACTAATGCGACTACTCTCTGTTTTAACAAGACCCAAAGGTGGGTTGGTTATCAAGTCTGTCTTTTCTCCGTCTTTGTGCAGCATAGTCTCCTCCAGATGACCTCGTACCACCTGTTAAACCAAAACATTCAGCTGCTAAACTAATGCGCTGCTCATTTGCCACCCCTTGTTTGAGGAAAAGCATACGTCGCTTTCGGCGAACTTCCAACGAAGAGTCACTTGGGTTCTCACAACTAGCAGGGCTATTTAAAATAGCTGAACGTTGCCAGACCCTAAGTAAATCCTAGCGTACACAAGACTCTATCAATGAATACAACATGGCCGAACATTTGTCTGTTGTTATCCCCAGTGTCTCCAAAGCTCTCCACTGAGTTTCAATTTGATCATAGAGGCTGCATATCTCCAACTTTTTTTTCGAGGTTGTGTTTGCTAAAATCAACTTTAATAACTCCCTATAACATATACCTCTGTTTGAAGGTCCTAGCTGCCGAATCTACTTTGCATGCTTTCTATAATTCTATTATAGTTCTCACTCATGGCCGTATAGCTTTCAACAAGTTGTCGGACTCGAATTCCAACTAAAGTTGCCTGAATTAATTATTCAATTTTATCATAGTTTTCTATACTTTCATATTGATGAACCGTTTTAAATTGAGCCCAAAAAGCCACAAAAGTCTTTAATGCTACCGTCGTAGTGTTTATACTCAATACGAGGCTGTCTAAATTTACTCATAACAGTGTGGTTATCTTCGAAACTGACAGTACTTCTTCCATCAGCCCCTCTGTTGTCACTACTTCCAGTTAGGGGGCCTGATTCAAGAAGCTTGTTGCATTTCAGCGGCAGTGTAGTGAGTTTCTTGGTATAGACATCACAGCTTTCTATTTCAGCTTCAAGTTCGACGGCTGTCGGCGTTTGCAACAAAAGGTCATACAGTTCACAGTCAATTTTGCTCAGCCAGTCGAATTTTCACAGTAACATTTCGAAGAAAACTTGTATAAAACCTTTGTCAGGATTTTCCAAGTGTATCTCCATTTCTAGTTCGTTCGCGTTTTGTGTAAACGCACTCCGGTAGGCGGAACGGCTTTTCTTTGTAACTTCAAGTCCCGTAGCGGTTTGCAAACCCGATTCAGAATCACTCAAAGTTTTGAGGTTAAAACGACAAAGTTCGAAACCCGGTAAAAGTTTGCAAAACTCGACTACGCTGGTTCGGATTTTCCGCACACTTTTCAGAGTTACACAGGTGATTACCTGCTTATGCACAGACCGAAAAGTTCCACTATTTTTTCCGAGACAATGTCCTGCCACGGTCGCCAAATGTTGTGCACGAAAAGAAACCACCCCCCAGTTTCAAAGGGCCATCGAAGGGTTCGTTAAACAAAACTATCGAGATATCTGTACACAAAAACTTTAGTTCCCTGACGATGTCAAAATCTTCCCGTTTTTTCTAGGTTATGTTGTATTCGATTCTCTCTTTTCTCTCTCCATTCATCCGTCTCATATACTCGCATCTTTGACACAGGACATGCTTCATCACGGAACAAACCCACTCACAAGGGAGAGTTTATAGTTTTTGAGTCTTAGCTTAAGGGGAGGATGTTCTCTGGTCTTCACCTAGGACAGCAAACGTTTAATGGCTTTATGACTTTGTAATTATTGTTTATATTTAAACTACATTGACACATGCCGCCAAAACGTATAATTCTGTTTCTTCTCTCGCAGATTGCGCTACTTATAGAAAGATTTTAGTATAACGACTATTATGCCTTCACTGACCCTGATTCACCTTGGCTGCAACACTCGGGAAGTGGTTAATGTTTGTTGTGGTCCACCAAAACTTGCTAATAAGTACATACCAAATGCACGCATTGTTTGGCCAAAGCACCTATTGCGATGGGAAGTTGCAAAATACTATCAGTTGTGTAAATACCAACTAATTTAGGCAATTTTTTTTATGTTAGACAGTTTCCTTTGCGGAATCTCTTAATATATATGTAAGAGTGATTTATTCTTTTTGAAATACGTAAATAAAGATTGTGATTGAAAGAAAATAGTGCCTAACTTGTAGCACACGTTTACTGTTTGTGTCTTTGAGGTTAAGAATTGCTGTTAAGGAATTACCTGTAACGCAATTCTAAAGCTCGTGGCCTATTACCTGGATTCAGGCAACAATGCCTTGGGTGCTAGTTCAAAGCTTACAATATGTAAAAGTACACATAATTCGTTTTTAGCCTATAGTTAGTCACTCGCCATGACGTTATTGCCTCAAGACGATTCCTGAAAAAAAATTAAATTGGAAAGGGAGCCCTGTCACACCTCTCCTCCCAATCCTAACCTAATGTTGCACCATCACATTTCGATTTCCTCAAATCGCCTCGATATTTTTTGGACGCAAAAAAAATCATCTAAAGCTGAGAACGAAAATAGCTATCTCTGTATGTTTTGCTCAATCACCAGTTGATTGTCATCGACACGGCATTGAAAAATTTACACATTCGAGGTCAAGAACGTTGATTCAGATGGTGATTACATCACAGATATAGAAAAATCCATAAAATTTCAGAGACGACGGAAATAACATTAAATTCCTGTTTTCGTAATAGGGTAACAGCAATACATTTTATCCTGTCTGTCTGACCATCAGATTTTTCGACGACTCGGAGCAGAAATTAATTTTGTTTTCAATTTTCTTTGTTCTTTGAGATTTTGATTATGTTCATTCGTAACTACATTACAAGGATACGGCCCATGACGCTATTGCTTTAAACGAGTCTGGCTTCGTATAAGCACGAGTGTTAATCAGACATGCTTCGCTCTGGAGCTCTGGTTAAATGCTTTCAAAACGAGACAATAAGCCATCTTTTCCCAACGGCATCAAGGCCCGAAAGACCCAGTTGTAATCTTAACTCTTTCGATAAGGTTTCTCGAGAGTCCAAACGGCAATACTGTTATTAACATATCGTAAACCCAGCGAATTCTACATCCGATTACAAATCAATATTTATATTAGCTTTGTTAATTTTAGCCAATGATTTGTTGACAAGGGTAATTAAATCGATGACAAAGCAAGTTAATCGCATTGATGCTTCAGGAGTTTCATTAGTGCAACTTGCTAAGAAAGTTTCAACAACCAGAGATGTTATTATCGCAAATTTGAGAACTGAATTATCCAAAATTGATCCAAGAATTATGGGTAACAACTTTTTAGGTAAGTAAACTATTTAAACGTTGTTGAAGATTTGCGTAGTATAGAGGATCTCTCAGTAATGATTGCTATCCGACATGGTGGTAGCGGGTGACTTCGTTTTGGGACTGATGGTACTCTACGGACATAACATGGAAAGTTATTAAATTACGATATGTGTTCCATTCCATAATTCCACCTGAACCTTAAACTAACTTAAAGAGAGTATTGAAAATTGGACTGTGTGTAGTAGTCATTGGGGGCAACGATCTAAAATATCTTCAAGATGGCCACACTTCTGGCGTTGATTGAAAGAGTATATACAGGGTGATTCATGGTCGATGGCGTATTAGACGTTTAACGAGAACGCGACGCCCGATCTATCTGAAAATTTCTACAACGAAGTCATCGGATATGCTCTATGGGTAAAAAATATTTTCAGCAATGCGACGTTGCCGCTTGTACCGAAAAGTACATACAGCGTAGCTATTTTAAATGGGAAACCCTGTATATTATTGCACAGTTATATTGACGATATAGATCTGATTATTTTTGCATCACGATTCTTAAATCTATCTAAAGCGGTTTCCGAAATATTAAATAAAATTAACTATTTTTAATCAAAACGTAGCGCCAAGGAATCTTGTATTACAACGCGATTTTGATTCCTGTAAATTTAAAATTTTGGTAATGGGTTAGAAAAACCCTATGCTTGAGCCTGGCGTACAGCAATTTGTTCCAAATTATACAGAATGTCTTGAAAATACTGACCTTTCGGTTAGAGATAAAAACTCCTACAATTACATTTTTTCAAATATAACACGATGTATATTAGTTCAAAATTTTGCAATTCTTCAAACCAGTTGTCAGCTTAGCTATAGATACAGCTTCTATACGCTTGTTATACAAAATGAAGAAGAACAATTATTCAAACAAAGTTTTAATGATCCTGTTTATTCTTAACGGACAATGTGACCAAATTGTTCCAAGGACATGCAGAAAATTCATCGAGGTGTTTCCTTATTTAAACCAAATGAATGCAAGAAGCAAAAAAGTTATAAAATTGGATTGAAACATGTAAGCAAAAGCATAACGGAGAATTAAAAAAGGTGCCTAATAAATACTTAAAAAAGCTCAAAAACTATTTACAATAAATTTTCGAAATGCCGGCCATATCGCGTTCCAAGCACTTCAAAATTCATACATTTACAGAGTGATTTGTGGCTCTATGTATCTCATCAACATCCAGTTCTCCAATGCAGTGGATGATACGATGCCGCAATTCCCCTATCTGGTTGACCGGCGTCTTGTAAACATTTTCTTTTAATTTACCCCACAAAAATCAATCCGGTGTCCAATGCGGTTCCGCAAATCCGGTGGCGGAAGATCGGGAGATCTTGCAGGCCAGTCCTCCAGGAAGTACGCTGAAACATTTACAATGTTGTCTTCTTCAGAAGTTACAGGTTTTAGTAAGTTCGGTTCAGCTTTCAGTTTGGTGCCATAATTAAGGAAATTGTGTTGTATTCGCACAAACTTTTTTGCATTTATTTGCTTCAAATTAAGAAACATTTCGTTGAATTTTCAATTTGGTCACATTCTCTATGAAGAATAAATAATTTAATTAAAACTTCGTTGAAAATAAACTATTTGGAAAAATGCAATTGAAATGGCAATATTCCTTGGAGCTTCGTTTTGATTAAAAATAATGAATTTTATTTAATATTTGGAAAACCGCTTTAAATCGATATATGAATCGTTATGCAAAAATAATCAGATCTATATCGCCAATCGGAGCGTGCAATAACATACTGGGTGTCTAATTTAAAACAGCAAAGTTTTATGTACTTTTCGGTGTAAGCTGCAAATTTGCAGATTGATCGTGCATCGTGTTCTCCTTAAACGTCTAATACGCCATCGACGATAAATCACCCTGTATATACTCTTTCAATCAACGCTTCCGGTTATACCGTAAGTACCAACTTGTTAAATCACATTTAGGAATGTTTTCCGGGCTTTGAAGCCGTGGTCTATGGGAATTTCTTCCTGACGTTTCGTCCACAACTGCGGTGGACATTAT